TCTGAATTATTTACGTTATTGCTCTCTTTGTGAGGAAGATCACAATATTCTTGGTCTATGATTTGTAACGTGTGGTGAAACACAAAATATTTCTTTTTGTGAATTATGTTACAGGGTTGTACTGTTACTAATAATTATACTTTAATCTAAACATAGAATGCTAGCTTACAATCAGTCCTATGATGAGTGCTTTTTGTTTATTTAATCGTGTGATGTGGGCGTCGCTGGCTGGCCAGCATTTATTACCCATCCTAGTTGCCCTTGAGATGGTAGCGATGAGCTATTTTATAAGCTGTCATGTATTTCACAAAACGTAAGTCCAATCTTGACCAGGTTATATCAATAGGGAAGTTATGGGGAGGGGATATGTGTTTGTGGATTTCAGACCTCACAGTGTTACTTCCATGGATCTCTGCCCAGACACACAAAAAAAAGGACACGTGTGGTAGATTGGTTAGCAAGGCTAACATGGAATAACATGGTTAACATGGAATACAGGGAGAACTAGTTATTTGAATATGGAACTGCCTCAAAGGTAGGAGACAGAGGGTGATGGTGGAGGGTTGCTTTTCAGACTGGAGGCCTGTGACCAGTGGTGTGTCACAAAGATCTGTGTTGGATCCACTGCCTTTTGTCATTTATGTAAAAGATTTGGATGTGAACATAGGAGGTATGGTTAGTAAGTTTGCAGATGAACCAAAATTGGAAGTGTAGTGGACAGTGAAGAACGTTATCTCAGAGTTCAATGGGACTTTGATCAGATGGGCCGATGGGTCGAGGAGTGGCAGATGGAGTTTAATTTAGATAAATGTGAGGTGCTGCATTTTGGAAAGGCAAATCCGGGCAGGACTTATACACTTTGATAGTAAGGTCCTGGGGAATGTTTCTGAACAAAGAGACCATGGAATGCAGCTTCATAGTTCCATGCAAGTGGAGTCACAGGTAGACAGGATAGTGAAGAAGCCTTTTGGTATGCTTGCCTTTACAATCGGTTCTGCTATAATGCGTGTTTCTTCAATGCAAATTGGCTTTAACGCGATTGAAGAAGTTAGACTGCTATTTGCAGAACGTGAACTTTGCTTACATGTATTGGCTATAATGTAATTCTGGCCCCATTGGTTCAAATGGTGCAACTGTTGCGCAATTTTCTTCAAACGCGAGATCACATGAGAACGGAACTATTGTGTTATATCAGAACATGTGCATTGGGTATAGGAGTTGGGAAATCATGTTGCGGCTGTACAGGACATTGATTAGGCCACTTTTGGAATATTGTGTTCAATTCTGGTCTCCCTGCTACAGAAAGGATGTTGTGAAACTTGAAAGTGTACAGAAAAGATTTCCAAGGATTTTGCCAGGGCAGGCGGGTTTGACATATAGCGGGAGGCTGAATAGGCTGGGGCTATTTTCCCCTGGAGCGTCAAAGGTTGATGAGTGATCTTAGAGGTTTATAAAATCATGAGGGGCATGGATAGGGTAAATAGCCAAGGTTTCTTCCCCGGGATGGGAAAGCCCAGAACTAGAGGGCATAGGTTTAAAGTGAGAGGGGAAAGATTTAAAAGGGACCTAAGGGGCAACTTTTTCATGCAGAACGTAGTGTGTGTATGGAATGAGCTGCCAGAGGAAGTGGTGGAGGCTGGTGTAATTACAATATTTACAAGGTATCTGGATGGGTATATGAATAGGAACAGTTTAGAGGGATATGGGCCAAATGCTGGCAAATGAGACTAGATTTATCTAGAATATCTGTTTGGCATGGATGAGTTGGATCGAAGGGTCTGTTTCCATGCTCTACAGCTCTATGACTCTAAGTGATAAAGGCTTCATTAATTCTCTTCTTGTTAACTGATATTGATTTTTTTTCTATTTTCAGATGAGATTCTCTCTCTTTGAATCTGACACCATCATCCCTGTCCTCAGAGAACCAGCTCTGGGTGTCACTGTCTTTACAAACTACCACCCAATCTTCATCACTATATTCTTTGCAGAGACTAGAAGATGTTGTGATCTCTGATTTCACATCCATCTTTCCCGGAATACAATGCTTAAATCTCACAAAGCAGATTTCTACCATTGCTACAGTACCAAAATAGCTCTTAACAAAGTCACAAAAGACATCTTGTATGATAAGGAAAAGTAAATTTTCCCTCTTTGTCCTTCTCAAATTGCCTTTGACACAGCTGACAACACTATCTTGTTCCGACACTTCTTCAACATCATTGAACTGAGGCGTGGGGCACCACATTCAACTAGTTCCATTCTTATTTATCTTTTCATAATAACAGTATCACATGTCATGGCTTCTCTTCCTGCCATTGTGTCCCTGAAGGAACCATGTAAAAGGGACTGCATAAATATAATTTGTAGTTGTTGCTGGTTTTCCTGCCAAACAGACTGATTGTGGACTGAAAAATTGAAATAATAGTTTTAAAGCATGTTCTGTTTTTTATATTTGAGAAACCTGTACTTCTTTTACTGTCCATAATTCCTCCTATACCAGATTCAAACACACTCCTCAGTTTTTAGGACATCCTACAGGGAAGACAGTATCAAAGCATTCAGTCTACAAATTCCAATCTTATTTAATTCCCACTTTCTTGTCTTTATTGTGAGTCCAGATAGAGCTTTGGGATATAAGATATTCTACTATTGTTGGTATAAATGAAAGAGGTTAAAAGAATAAGGGATAATCTTATTGAAATATATAAGATTCTATGGAGTCTTAAAACTGAGATGCAAAGGAATTTCTTCCCTCAGAGAGCAGTGAGTGTCTGGAATTCTCTGCCCTAGAGAGTTGAGGAGGTTAGGTCACTGCAAATATTGAAAGAAGAGGTGGATAGATTTTGTTTTGTATTGAGGAGTTGAGAGTTATAAGGAGTTGCTACAAAAGAGGAGTTGAAACCTGGGGCAGATCAACTAGGAACTTATTGAATGGCAAGGCAGACATTAAAGGACTGAATGGCCAACAACCTGCTCCTATTTCTTATGTTTTTAGGTTCTAATCTCTTCCTTATTGACAATGAGCACCAGTTCTCTTATAATTTCTCCTCTTTATGGACCACAACTTCACTATCGAACACAAAGTCATAATTTCCTAGACTAATCACTTCTCCACTGAAGCTATCCCATTCTCTGTTGTATATGGGTCTGAAAGGATTAATACTCAAGACTGCCCAAGCACCACCCACTATGATGATGTCATATGGACTCATGGGCAGTACAGCTTAGAATTTCAAAGAAGTGAGAGCCAATATTTGGTCCTCTTTAAAGTCTCTGCAATACCTATCATATCAGTGTGGCCTGTAACTAGTTACTAACAAGCAATAAGCCATGTCTTGCTAATTACAAAAGATTGTTCTAGTTAGACCTGGGAAGTGGTTTTCCCCTGCCACACTGACCAAGCAGATCCTGTAGTTTCCTATGCTTCAAGAGGATGGTCACAGCACCTTGATGAAAGACCCTGATGAAGGGTCTAGGCCTAAAAGATTGACTCTCCTGCTCCTCTGATGCTGCCTGACCTGGTGTACTCCTCCAGCTCCATGTTCTATCAACTCATTTCTGTCTGTTCCTGTCTCAGTGAATTTTCTCATTTTAACTGTAGCATTCTCTGCCTTATGCAGTACTTGCATCCATATTTCGTCTGCCTCTACCACTTGCATGCATTGTGATTTTATGGTTCTGCATTCTTTTCATGACGAATACATAATATTTCTTTCATTCTGTCCATCCAACTGTGGACCCTTTGCTTTCTATTGAACAATGGGTAAGTTGAGATGGTTTCTACATTAAAGGGCTAATTTAACTCCATTCACTTCCTTTAAATAAAAAGTGTTCAAAACAGCCAAGTTTCCAGCTCTGCCTCCATTTTATAGAATAATTGAACATTTTTTCTGTTAAAATTTTCATACTAGGGGAACCAACTACAAATTAAGTGATCTCTATGGTTTCTGTCACAAGTGCAACCCTAACGTCTCTTTCATTTGCAAGGTAGTTTACTAACCCACTCCTATTCCAACCTGCCTGCCTTTGTTCTATTGAATCCATTGTAGGCTCAAGCAATTTATCTTTCTGTTAGGAGCTTTGTAACCATCAGCTCTTTATACTGACTTTACTAACTTCAGACTTCTAACTATAACACAAAATTTCTTTATGGCAGAAGTTACTGGCAATGTGAAATAGATCTATAGGTAATTTCTGGAGAGGGGTGACAATTTAGTGTTTGGGGCACAGATTCTCTTCTATATACAAGCATGGGAATTAGGAACAGGTGTCAGGTGGTCTTTGGAACAGCTCGCGCTTCTGGCTCAGCCATGGGCCTGGATTTGGCCTCCTCCACCCCGATGACCCAAGTCCCTGCTGCTAAACTGCTGACATTGCTGACACCACACTTCACCACGCCGCCACCACTGGAACAAAGAGTTGCCACTCTCTGCCATCTCACCTCCACCATTGTTGCTGCCACCATGAGCTCATGCTGGGCCAACTTGGCCAATGCAGCCACCACCGGTGCCACAGGGTCCTGCACTGGGATCAAACTCACTGATGTTGCCACCTCTGCCATCAGGCACCCAGGCCTAGCTGCGGACTTGGAACCTCGGTCTGGACTGAAGGTTTAAGCCTGGGACCTGATCTTCGCTCACTGGGAGAGATCCCCTTGTTAATTAAAAATGTACCTACCTCTCTCATAGAAATATTTAATAACCTTGCCTCTACCGCTGTCTGGGGGAGAGACTTCCAAAGACTCACCCTCTGAGAGAAATCTTCTGCATCATCTCAACTTTAAATGAGAGACCCCCTTGCTTTTAAACTGTGTTCTCTTGTTGTAGCCTCCTCCACAAGAATAAACATCCTTTCTGCATCTACACTGCCAAGTCCTCTCAGGATCTTGTACATCCCAAAAAGATCAGCTTTTATTCTCCTGAACTCTAGTGGAACAAGGGCCATTTGTGGAATCTTTCCTTTTAAGATAACCACCCCATCCCAATCCTAGCCCACCCATCCCCAGATAGCAGTCAAGTGAACATTCTGTGAATTGCCTCTAATGCACTTACATTCTTTCTTAAATAAGACCAAAACTACGCACAGTACTCCAGGGTTGGAGGGTTTGACCTATTGGGAGAGGCTGATTAGGCTGGGGCCATTTTCTCTGGGGTGTCGGGTGCTGAGGGGTGACCTTACAGAGGTTTATAAAATCATGAGGGGCATGGATAGGGTGAATAACCAAGGTCTTTTTCCCAGGATAGGTGAGTCCAAAACTAGAGGGCATAGGTTTATGACGAGAGGGGAAACATTTAAAAGGCGCCTAAGGGGCAACTTTTTCACTCAGAATGGTGCATGTATGGAATGAGCTGCAGGAGGAGGTGGTGGAGCCTGGTACAATTACAACATTTAAAAGGGTGGGTGTGTGAATAGGAAGGGTTCAGAGAACTATGGGCCAAATGCTGGCAAATCGGATTTGATTAATTTAGGATATCTTGTCGACATGGATGAGTTGAACCAAAGGATCTGTTTCTGTGCTGTACATTTCTATGACTCTATGTGGTCTCACAGTTTTTGTAAAACTGTGCTGTCTGGACACTGTGCATCTTTGATGTTGACTTTTTTTTATTCTGGTCATGCTGGTGCATTTTATTTCACCTAGCTCTTCCTCTTTAACCTACAGCCTTGTCATATCCTTTGCTTTCTACTTATCTTGTGATATTGTTTATTGCAAACATGTCTCTTCATGATTGTATATTTGCAAATTTGACACAGGATTATGTATGTGATATTTAGTATTGAATCTAGTGAAATGTACAGTCTTCAAGCAGAACCTTTGCTTAGGGTCAGAGTAATGCAGATGCCACTTTTGTACTGATATCGCCTATAGTGTCACACACAAGACCAACAGAAATCAAACAGAGATAATTCATTAAGTGATCTTTTTGATGTGGGGCAGTTCCAGAGATTCTGTTTAAAATTAAAAACTAATAAATTAAATGTGGAGCAAAAAATTTTTGCAAGGTCTGCATACCGTTCAAAAAATTTCGTTGCATCTTGAGTGCTTGGTTGATGTCACCAACCCAAGCTTGCCAGATTTCAGTATTTGGCGCCTGTAAGATGTACCGTTCAGAGGTTCCATGGGATCTCAGAGCAAACTTGCATGATTCATTGTCCACGTTATCCTCAATATTTAGCGCATTCACCTTAAATAGATCAGACAAACAAACTGTTGAAAAGATGTACATGTTTGAATCATAGAATCTTACAGCATAGAAGGAGGCAATGCAACCCATCAAGCCTGCACTTCATCTTACGTTAGAAGCAGTGAGTCAGAAGGAAGTAGCCAATGAATCAGAAAAGTTATCAGTCACTCAATCTCTGGGCATTGGTAAGAATGACGACCTCGGATAGGGAGAGCAGAGAATCAACTCTAGTTGATGTGAGCCACACCAGGAAAGCCCAAGGTTTAGTATCTGCCTATATTGTATTGATCTCTGGTGTTAGACTAAGGTAACCAAATAATTTAAAGAATGCCAGATTGGCAAAACACACTTGAATGCTACCTTGTGATCTTTTTTGGGAAAGTCCATGTCGTAGATAATGGGACAATGTATTGCTATGATTTTTCCCATTTTGAACAGGCTGCCACACTGTGAAAGTCCAGTTTCACCCATTAGGATTGACACTTTTGTTAATTAGGGAAAATTGTTGGTACCCATGGACAAGGCAATGATTGAAATGACATTGCATTTTGATTGCCATCTTATGAAAAAGCTGGTAGATTTCAATTTCCCATCACTACAGGCTGATTGTAAAGGACTGAGCATCATTATCCTTCAATCTTTGCTTACTCCTGTCCACATTTACCTTAATGCTGTTCTTGAATTGATACATTGGTCTTGAGGAACCCTTCTTGAGTAGTTCACTAAAGATTAAAATCTGCTCAAAGAGGAAAACGCGTCTTTCCTTACTTCGGGACAGAACTCCAGAAACTTGTTCTGTCACGAGGAATGTATCTTGTTGCAGCAGTTTCCCCTGTGCTGTGAGTTTGCCCTGGGAGTAAAAAATGATTCAGAGTTGAATCAATTCTGTTAAACATCATTTTATAATTTTAAAAATGTATCTTTACTCCCATTTCTAAAACAGATTAATGTTTTTCTTTAAAATAAAACAAAGAGCCGTGGATGCTGGAAATCTGAAACAAAAACAGAAATTGCTGGAGAAACTCAGCATGTCTGGCAGCATCTGTGAAAAGAAAACAGAGTTAACATTTCGAGTCCAGTTCCGAAGTGGAGTCATTGGATCCAAAGCAGTTTTATCAAACATAAATGTAGCAGAAATGTACTTCTTTTCATTGACACCAATAAAACCAAGGTTCCATCTGCTTACCAAGTTGGTAATAAAGATTTTGCAGCTAGAAAGTTTGTGCTCCAGTAAATTGTTTTCTGAGATAAACTGCATATACACATGACTACCCCTTCCAGAAAACATTTACTCTCAGCCTTTATGAGAAAGATGGCATAAGATTTGTCAATGCATTCTGAGCCCTTTTCACTCTATGGTCATAAAATTATGGTATAATATGCATAGGTGAAATAATAATCTAAGGAAGAGGAAAGGAGATAACCTGACCTTAAAACCTTCAAGTCTTCCCAAATTCATCATATCATTGCAACGTTTTGGTACCTGATACATCACATCAACTGCTTTCTGCAAAAAAAACACAATTCAATCTTAATAGTTTCTGACACTGTCAGCACTTCAGATATAAGCACTGTTAAAGTAATAGTTTTGGAATCCATCCAACAAATTTACATTCAATTTCACATGCTTTTGACATTTTTTTCTATAAATTACAAAATTATGACATTGAAAAGTCTTTCAATTATATTTGAAAAATAAACAATGAAGTCAAATGTATATATTTCATGAAAATAAAATTTAATATAGCAGTCTCATATAACAGAGACTTTTTATTGCATGTTAAGAATAATTGACATCAACTCATCTACTTGAACTGAAGTTAGTAATGTACATAGAATATTGATGTTTTCAGTGAACAATAATTTCAGAATTTTGTATTGTGTGGCAGTCAATCCTCCAACAACTTCCACCAGTACAGTGTTGAAATGTCTCCAAGTGTTTTACAAGGAGGAATTAGCATTCAGCAGAAGTTAAGGGTCAAATTAGAGCATATGCCTCAAGGCAGGGTTTGAGAAAACCTTTGAAGGTCCTTAACAACATTGCTACATCCTGGAATCTGAGAATTGAAGCTTTGCAAATACAGCTTTGTCTATGTCCCAGGAGAGAAAAAAATCCTCCTAGGTTAACTTCCTCAACTTTACCAAATCTCAATAAGATAAAAAGCAGTTCAGGGAAAGAAATTTGATGTACTGTATCAGTTTTCTAAATGACTGCCTTAACAACTGTGCAATGGACCAGAGGTTGAAGCCTGAAAAGTGCAAATGATGGTAGTGGTACAGAGTATGAAGACATTTATAAACAAGGACAAAGATTCTGAAATTAGCATGCTAGTGAAAATGTCACACCAGAGATTATGCAAAACAGAATTATGAACTCACAAGATTTGGATGGTAGGATGCAGTCAGTGGAATTCTAAATAAGTTGAATTTAAAGTAGATGCAAACAAAAAAATCAGACGGAATTTGGAGATGGTGAAACTGGAGATGACTAATATGTCTGTCCACAGGCATAACTTTTGCTCCTGTGACGGGTGGTCAGAGCCTGGAAATTTCCTGTAACCAAACATGACTCAGCAGAAACTTCCTTAAATGGAAACCTTACCTTTTCTGGCCTCCATGTGACATCAGACCCACAGAGAAATGGGTCACTAAACTCCCCTCTGCATGACTTAGCAAGCCACTCAGTAGTATACACCACTACAGATGAATCAAATAATACCAAACAAGATTAACTTAAGCATCCGATATGACAATTGTACATCCGGTCTGGGTTACTGGGTTTCAAAATTGAAGGTGTCCTTCAGTTAAGTCAGCAACAGCCTGATATAGTCATATTCACAAAATTATATCTTATAAACTCAGTGTCTCAGATTTCTTCATCTCCAGCCTTGGGGTATGTCCTGTCCTACCAGTGTCCATATAGCACTATGGACCAGCACCAGCAAAGTTGTGCTTCACGACAATTTGCACTCTCATGGCCTCAGAAATTCCTCACTCTACCATTACAATCCCTGGATCAATGAGAAATGTAGGGGGGCAATAATTAGAGCAGCACCAAAAAAAACCTAAAAATGGATATCAACATAGTGAAGTTACAAAATACAACTACAAACATGCTTAACAACAGAAATAGGATAAGCATATCATACCTAAGTGATCCCAAACCAAGCAATCAAATCAAAGCTGCCATATGTGGTTGTGAATGGTGGTGGTCAATTCAACAAGTAACAAGTGCAAGAGATTCCATGAACACTACCTTCCTGAATGATTTTGGAACACAGAAAACCAATGCAAAAAACAGGGCTGAAGCATTTACAATTATCTTCCACCAGAATTATAGAGTGGGTTTTCCATCCCCACTTCCGCCTGGGACTCCCAGCATCTACAGATGCCAGTCTTCAGCCAGTTCACAGTATTAACAAAATGACGGGAGGTGCTATCAAACAGCATTTATCCTGCAATAACCCATACATGGATGCCTAGTTTGTGTTGCATTAGGACGACTCAGCTTCAGAATTCATCTTAGTCCAAACATGCTCAAAAAAATTGAGTTGCAGAGGAGAGATGAGAGAGTTTTCTTAATATCAGTGCAACATTTGACTATATGGCATCAAGGAACTCCAGTAACATTAAAGTTAAAGGAGATTGAGGAAAAAATTTCCACGAGCTGGAATCATATCTAGTACATGATGTATATATTTATGGTTATTGGAAGTCAATAAGCTCAGTTCAACCATCAGTGCAGCGGTTTCTCAGGACAGTGTCCCAGGCCTAATCATCAATGACCTTTCCTTCATCATAAGGTAAGACCTGGGGGCACTTGCAGATGACTGAAGAATGTCCAATACTATTCATCCCTTCTCAGATAACAGAGCAGTCTGTGCTTGCTTGGTACCAGACCTGGACATCATTTTCGCTTGTAATACTCGTTCAATTAAAGTGCAAGGCAATGAAACTCTCCAACAAGTGAGAATCTAACCATCTCTCCTTAAATATTCAACAGTATTACCCTCACTGAATCACCCACCATCAACACTTACCAGAAACTTAACTGGACTAGCTACTGTGGCTACAAAATCAGTTTAGAAGTTGGGAATTCTGCTGTGAGTAACTCATGTCAAGATTCTGCAAAGTCTATCCAGCATCTACAAAACACAAGTCAGGTGTGTAATGGAATAGTCTCCACTTACTTGGATGAGTGCACATTCAAGAAGCTCAACATCCTCCATGACAAAGCAGACGTTGATCAGAATTCCATTAAGTATCTTGAACATTCACATCCTCCACCATACTTGAACAGTGGCACCAGTGTGTATCAGCTACACAATGCACCATAGAAACTTGCCAATGCTACTTTGGCAGAAGCTTCCAACTCCCACCCTCTACCATCTAGAGATATTAGGGACAGCAGGTGCATGAAGAGCATGGCCTGGTCATAATAAAGACTGTTTTATCAGAGAGACAAGGATAAGACCTCGTGGAAACATATTCACTCCAGACACTGGCACCTACTTGAGCACATTATTATCCAAGTGAGGGACTGCCAGGATGTTTGTAAACATTCTGTACCTGCTGCATGCCAGGATCCTAGCACAGCATCTGGATTTACCTTGGATCCAATATGTGTGCAAATGGAGTCAAGCAAGGCTATATTATCACACTAATGCACTTCTCCTTCTTCTTCACTGCAACACTCCATCCCATTTCCATGAAGCTTCCAGCTGGAGTGAAGCTTTTCTACAGAACAAGAGGGAAACCCGTACAGACCTAATCTGAGAGCTAAGACCACACCAATCTCTGTCAATGAGCTACATATGACACTTGCATGTTCACGCACTCAAAGGCTGAGTTCCAAACCATCAACAACATATTCATAGAGGCCTATGAGAGAATGGGTGTTAGGCTACACATCTGGAAGCCAAAGGTACTCCAGCAGCTTGCTTCCCCCAGGCAAAACTGTTTCCAAACTATTAAAATCCATGATGAGCTCCTGGACAGGTGGATCAATTTCCATATATTGAGAGGGTTGACATCAACATTGAAATTCAACATTGTGTCTGACATGTCGGTGCAGTCTTTGGCCATCTGAAGAACGGAGAATTTATTAACAAAGGCTTCAAACCCAGCACTGAGCTCATGGCCTAAAGGGGAAAGTGTTACCTGCTCTTCTGTATGTTTTGGAGACAAAAGCAATGTATAGCAGACATTTCAAATCTCTACAGAAGTATCATCCACAATGTTTCTGCAAAATCCTGCCTATCCAATGACAGGAGGTACATTCCAATATCAGTGTCCTCTCTCAAGGTAACATCCCCAGTACCGAGGCACTGGTTACTATCAATCTGCTGCACTGGGCAGAGCACATTGTCTGCATGACTGACACAACACTGCCAAAACAAGTTGTCTACTCCAAACACATGGCAAGCAGTTATCAGGAGGACAGAGAGAATAATTCAAGGATACCTCAAAACTCTGCTGAAAAAATGCAACACCCCACTGACTCATGGGAATCTCTTGCCCAAAACAACCCAAACTGGAGAAGAAGCATCTTCAAAGGTACCAACTGTCTTGAGCTTCTCCGACAGGCCTAGGTCAAGGTCAAACTGAAGCAACAGATAGAGTGTGCAAAAGCTCAAGCATCACACCCCACCTCCTACTTCTTAAAACTGCAGCTGCCCCACCTATGAGACATGTGTGGAACCATCATTGGACTATTTAGTCACATTAGCACCCCAAACTCTGAAGTTGAACAAAATCATCCTGAGAATCAAAGACTGTCTAAGAAGAAGGGATAAACCAACAGCATATGGACTGCAGTAGTTCAAGAAAGTAGCTCACCTACTTTTCCTCAAGGGCGATTATGGAGACACAATAAATGCTGAGCTTGCCCGTAATACCCTCATCCCATCAGCAAATATAGAAGTAATTAAGGTAATTGATCAGCTATGATATAATTGAAAGGCAGAACAGGTTTGAGGGGTAAAAGATTATTCCTTTTCCTATATTTTTAATGGGCTGAATGGACAACATAGATGATTTTAAAAAGTTGAAAAAAAATTGACTTCTGCTATCTGTTCACTTGCTTCTTTCAATGGCTTACAGTACATGCCATCAGAACTAAGTAATTCGTTTCCCTTACACTTTGCTAGTTTTATTTCAGAACTTAGATAATAGATCGTACACTAACTCCATATTATTAAACTACCTTTTATTTAGTTTATAAAACTTATTTGAAGACAATCATAGTAAGTGAATGTGATTTATTCACTCAGTAAATTTGCTTGGCACTTCTTTCAATTTGCTGTCAGCGATATGACAGGAAATTTGCTTGCACTGTAAATGCTTCTGAGTCTAAGAAAACAAGTTTTACCGCAATCTCTGAACATTCGAGGCCAGCTTGTTCACTGTACTTAAGGAAGTCCTGCAACAAGATAATTTTCTTTTATTAATTAATATTTACCATTAAGCAAATAACTTTCTTGCATGAAAATAATATGAATCAACTTTGCAGTTTAAACGCTCATGACAAATTTTGTCTTGTCAGCAGACATTTTAACCTTTGTGAAAGTAGTTTTGGTGCTAATATCCACTTTACAATCACTCTGTCTAACAGGGGTTGGTTAGCTTCTTTGGCTGTACTGTGGGTTTGCAATACAGAGTTACACCAACAGCATGGGTTCATTTCTTGGAGCAGAAAAGGTTACCATGAAGGTCCAATCTTCTTGAGCTAATCCCTGCCTGAGGTGTAGTTATCCTCAGGTTAAACCAGCACCAGAAGTCTCTCTCTAATGAGAGAGTGGGATTATTGTCACTCGAACTAATCTTTTTCTGACTTTTCGCTATGTCTGAAAACAAACTGCAGCATTCATATCTCAAATTAAAAGCATAATTGTTTCCTTTCTAAAAAAAAATTGAGTGATCAGGGTCCTGACAAACAAGATGAATATTTTGTAATCCCTTTAAAAGTGTATTCATTGCATCCTAAAATTTCTGCCCATAAACATCCAATGAAATGAATTGAGAACACAATGTGCATGATTAACTGTCTATCATTCAGTACAAATAGAGAAGGAAATTTCAATGTTATGATGAAGGTTTAAATACCCAAAAAGTTAATTGATAGCATCTCTCCCACTTATAGCAAAATGGGTGATGAAATGTTTAATTTGTTAGGCGGTATGCACCCATACTGTACCAGGATCACACAGGACACCATATTGATACAGTTTCACTTTAAACATCCACAATCTTGATCTGAAATAGGAATTAGGCAAATTTCAGGATCTTTTCCCAAAATTAGGCTTCCTTGCTGCATTCTTGTCTATTCATGTCTATTCATATTCATGCCTAAATATGGTCCTCAAAAGATTAAACTGAAAGTCCAAACTGTTGCCATGGGCAGAATTTAATGCTGTCTGAGTTCAGTGGTAAGGACAATTTAATTCAGTGGGAGGATTGCAGGCGGGTCCCTTCCACCTTCCTGCTGTTCCCTAATTCCCTGGAGAGGCAGGGAAAAGAGGAAAGAGGTAATTAGTTCAAAGATATTTGTTTCCTGTGTGAGGGATCCAGCATCAGGAATTGTGGGCTGGCTGAGAGCCAACCACTGCCCTGCTATCAATCTCCCACACCCAAGAACTCTATTCTGTAGGCACATGTCACCCCCAAGCCCCCGTCCCCTACTACCAATTATCTGCACCCGTTCCCTTTGTGAACCCAACACTTGGGCGAGTCTGCAGTGGGTAGCGCCATTGAGCAATGAGGAGTTACAAGCCTCTGATTAGTCAGCAGGGGCCTTTGTCCAGGGAGTCATAGATCTCCTGTATATGGCAGGCCTTCCCAAGACATAGCGATGCAAGGCTTCCACCAGCTCTCCAGTGAATACGCAGGACCCCTAGCATCTCTATTAAGTACCACCCTATATTTCTATGCAGTTTGACAGTTGGACAAGCCCTCACCTTGAGTAGTAGCTGATACTTGGTTATCCTCTGAACAGGTTTGATGAGGTAGTCACTCAAGCTAAACGTTTCACCCAAATCCAGTTTTACCTCCTGAAGAAAAAAAAGCAAATGATGTGTCACTTACATTATAACTGATCATTTTAATTGGATATCTTATTAGCCCAATGGATAAATACTATGCAGTAGTGTACTGAACCATGTAGACAGATACAATTTATAAGTTGCATCTTGGAAAGGTCTTGTGTTCCAAATGTATCACTGGCTAGGCCAGCATTTGTTGATCATCCCTAATTGCTCTTGAACTGAGTTGCTTGCCAGGCCACTGCAGAGGGCAGTTAAAACTCAACCATATTGCTGTGGATTTTATTTCATGTGTATGAACATACAATTCAGGAACAGAGGGAGGCTGTTCAGCCCTTCAAACCTGCACCATTCCATAAGAGCATGATTGATCTGATTGTAACCCATATTCCTGCCTACACCAAATAACCATTGCTTAACAAGAATCTATCTACCTCTGCCTTAAAAATAATCAATTACTCTAATTCCATCACCTTTTCAGGAACAGTTCCAAAGACTCATTGCTCCCTGAGAGAAAAAGAACACCAAATCTCAGTTTTAAATGGATGACACCTGATTTTTAAAATAGTGACCCTCAGCTCTAGATATTCTATAACAGGAAACATCCTTTCCCCATCTACCCTGTCGTGATCCCTCAGGATTTTATATGTGTCAATCAAGCAAAATCCCAGCAATTACAAGCCTAGACTCTACAAACTTTCCTCATAAGACAACCTTCACTTTCCTGAGATTTGTCTGGTAAACCTTCTGTGAACTGCCTCCAATGCATGAGCATCCTTAGGGAGACAAGATAAGAGTGGCAAACTTCTTTTTCTAAAGGGCATTAGTGAAACAGATGGGCCTTTACAACAGTTAGTGGTTGTTGTCATGGTCACCATTATTAAGACAAGCTTTATATTCCAAATTTATGAATTGGATAGAATTCTTTATAGTGAGATTTGAACCCTCTCTGCATGGCATTAGACCGAGCCTCTGCACTACTCGTCCAGCAACATTACCACAACAAACCAACATCTCCCCAACTATTGGGTAGGGGTTATATCTGATCTTTTACTTCTTTAAATTAACTGCCTAAAATCTGTGTGCAGTTTCTGCTCAAAATTCCAACATGTGCATCTGATTGATGAGATTTTGCAAAATTTACCCTTTATGATTCAGCTTTTGTCTGCATCAAGTTCAATGACCTATGTATGCTTTTGTCTGGTCTGAAGGGATTGTAATTGCTCTGAGAGTCGCCGGCATAGGGAAAGGAAATCAAAAGTCAGTATTCCTTCTCCTGACAGATTTATTGAGCACTGGTAAAACATCTCTTTGTCTTGCAATTGAATGAGACCAGGATTAGCTTTGTGATGACATTGTTCATCAATGATTGAAAAGCTGGCCAACATTGCTTTGAATCACACACCAAGAGTTGATATTTAGGCTAGGGAAACTCCAGGGACTGCCACCCACATGGAGCTATTACAAAGTAGCAGTTGTTTCAGTATTCCTGACTTCAAGAATCAAGGAGGAAGAAACTGAAATAAATTTCTAGCGTGGTTTTTAAATGCTTGGAAATCAAATTTCAGTCTCTTTAAATAGTGAACATTTTAAGAATAGATGCTTTGAAATTTAGACTAAAATTCATTTTACACCTTCCAATAAACTATTTTACAGGAAGCCACTTCACATGTCAAAATAAGCAGAAAGAAAATCAATTCTATAGAAAGTAGTCATCTTTACTCAATGAACAGAACATTCCAGTCATGTGTCAGTCAGCATAAATCATGATGTTCTTCAACTGTCAATGATTGCTGTTAGCTACTCATTTCCAGTTGATGTTCATTATTTATTATTGTCATTGAAAAAAGACAACCTGTGACTCACCTCAAAATAGGCATCATATTCAACCACAATATGCTCAGATTTTGGCTTGTTTTGACAGTACACCGCATACATGTCTAAGCGTCTTTCCTGCAGTAAAGGGTAATTAGTATTATGATTTCTAACTTCACCACATCGTGCATTTTCATCTACTCCTCTTGGAACTGAGTAGTACATCCCATTATCTTCAATGTATCATTAAAGTTTCATAAAAATACCAACAATGGAATAATTAAAATTACACTGATTGTAAATGGAACGGACAATCAAAATCATTCAGAATTTTCATCCCTTCTCTAAGTTCTTAGAACAGTGTCTGATAGTAATTAAATAAGACTAATTCCTGTTACTTGCCAGATATTTAGAGACTCAGTAAATTGAAGAATAAAGCACTTTGTATAAACATATGAATTAGGAACAGTTGCAGGACAGTGGGCCCCTCTAGCCTGCTCCACCATTCAACAAGATCATAGCTGATCTGATTGCAGCCTAAACTCCACATTCCCTTCTCATAATTCATATAACATCAAGCCAATGAAGAATACAGGACAGAAGAGGGCCACTTGGTCCACCACATCTCCATTAGTCCTTTGCTAGAACAGCCCAAACCAATCCCACCATTCACGCATAGCTCTGTTTCAAAAATTTATGAAATTTTTATTTAAATAATGCAATGATCTAATGGCCCTAATCACACCCATTTGACAAAGCATTTCATCCTATCATCTCTTCTCACACTGTTAGTGACATTTTTGAAATTCACGACTCCTTATCACTCATTCACCAACCACAGGGAACATTATTTTGCTATTTGTTGTTAGAGATCCTTTATGATTTTAAATCATTGGGTTAAATTTTTAGCTTCCACTGCTAGTAGACACTTGCTATAGCTTTAAAAATTTGTCTATACTGAATGCTCCAAACAGCTCACAACGCTGGAAATGTGGCTCTCCCAATATCAATATCCCACTTCTGACCATGTTACAGAGGTGAAGTGAGAGATGGGGGATGGCATTTAGGACCAAGATGAGAAATTTTTTTTTACACAGATTATTGTGAATCTTTATAATTCTCTAACTTAGAGGGCTGTGGAAGCTGAGTCTTTGTGAATGTTTAAAATAGAGATCGATAGATTTCAGATGACCAATAACATTAAGGGTTATGGTAATAGCATGGGGCCAGTGTCCATTGCCCAGTTCGTTAAATGTTTCTCAAATAAAGAAGAGTTGAAAACTCATTTCCACGCCCTTGCTTCCTTTTGATTGATTAATGGAATTTTCTCACGTCTGAATGATACCCACACAAAACCCACATTTCATACCACCTGTAATTTTGCTGAAGGAGCAGCAGAGGAGAAGCAGGAAACAATGTGTATTCCTTTGACATTCATGTACTCACTCCTTATGATGAAGAAGTGCTGTCAACATTGTGGATGCAATTAGTCTAGGTTGTAGGCATTGCAAAATTAGGAAGTCCTTCACCAACCCTCTTGGCTGTAGACGTCACTCACCCCATCCACCACAACTCCCTCACCTCAACCAACAGCAACCTGCAGCTTGTCTCAGCTTTGTAATGGGAACACGACTTTTGTTATAAACATGCAAGATCCTAATTTGGTCAGTAGAGTGTCTCATCTCTTCATCTGTTGTTTCCTTCTAAAGGCTGAGCAATAGCAGGCAGTTAAGGGAGCAGAAGGAAAAAGTTCTAGGTTCCTGAATCTCTGGGCATATCACCTAATAATTTACCCCTTTGTTCTTAATCTCTGGCCATATCACCTAATTATTAACCCCTTTGTTCTTATGTACCAGTCCATAGATATTCATATGGGGACAAAGCACAGTTCACAATGATACTGAGAAAATGGATGGGGTGTATGCTATTTAAAGTCGCCTAATTACACACATAAATTAGTTAAAAAGGGCTGCTGGATTGTGATTAGGGCTTTTTGCAGGAACCCTAGCTAATTTCACCCTTCTTAATTGGCTGGAGTCCTGCAATCAGCAGTGTGCCACAAGGATCGGTGCTGGGTCCACTGCCCTTCATCATTTATATAAATAATTTGGATGTGAATATAGGTGGCATAGTTAGTACTTTTGCAGATAACACCAAAATTGGTGGTGTACTGGACAGTGGAGAAGGTTATCTCAGAGTCCAACGGGATCAGATGGGCCAATAGGCTGAGGAGTGGCAGATGGAGATTAATTTTGATAAATGGGATGTGCTGCATTTTGATAAGGCTAACCAGGCCAGGCTTATACAGTTAAAGGTAGGGTCCTGGGAACTGTTGTTGAACAAAGAGACCTTGCAAGTGCATGGTTCCTTGAAAGTGGAATTGCAGGTGTATAGTGAAGAAGGCATTTGGCATGCTTGCTTTCATCGGTCAGAAATTTGAGTGTAGGAGTTGGAATGTCATATTGCAGATGTACAGATCATTGGTTCAGCCGCTTTTAGAATACTGCCTACAATTGTGGTCTCCCTGCTATAGGAAAAATGTTGTTAAACTTGAAAGTGTTCAGAAAAGATTTACAAGGATGTTGCCAGGATTGGAGGGTTTGAGCTATAGGGTGGGGCTGAATGGGCTGGGGCTACTTTCCCTGGAGCATCAGAGGTTGAGATTATAGAAATTTATAAAATCATGAGGGGCATGGATAGGGTGAATACCCAAGGTCTTTTTCCCAAGGTAGTGGAATCCCGAACTAGAGGGCATAAGTTTAACTTGAGAAGGGAAAGATTTAAAATGGACCCGAGTGGCCACTTTTTCACACAGAGGGTAAAGCGTGTACAGAATGAGCTGCCACAGGAAGTGGTGGCAGCTGGTACAATTACAACATTTAAAAGACATTTGGATGGGTACATGAATAGGAAGGGCTTAGAGGGCTATGGACCAAATGTTGGCAAATGGGACTAGATCAGTTTAGGATATTTGCTTAGCGCAGATGAGTTGGAACGAAGGGTCTGTTTCCGTCCTGTATTATCTCTATGTCTCTGTAATTGAGAAGTTGAGGTGAAGTATAACACAACGATGCCAATTCTAATCCATTTTTCTATGTGATGAAAGGAAAATTGTGACATTGTGACATTAAATGAGCCAAGCTGCTATTTTTATTCAAAGCTTTGATGTAAATTAGAAAATCTTACATGCTTGATGAAGAGCTTTGCCAAATACTCTGGCTCCTGAAGACATTCATCCAATTGCCCTGCAAAATAACTGCAAAGAAATATGAACAGATATCAGTCTAAAACTTTGTTACAATGAATACATATTTTTTCCTTTACCACTTGAATATTGAATCACACAACATGATCAATCACTTAAGAACTGTAGGAAATTCTTTGCATCAGAATATGCAGTACATACTCCAGGGATATACTATTTAGAAAATAATCCAACAAGCTAGTTGGAGAAATGGCCAACATATCTGAATATTACTAAGTACTCACCAAGTCTACTTTGATAATATCTTCCAAACGGCACCTCTAGCCAGAAGCACTCAGCTCCTGACCTCAGTACAACCTTGGTTCAAATATGGACCAATAGAGTCGAATTCCAGAGATGAGGTGAGAGTAATAGCCCTTGACATCAAGGCCACATTCGACAGTGTGTGGCATCAAGGAGCCCAAGCAAAACTGGAATCTTTGGGAATCGGAGGAAAACTCTTTGTTGGTTGGAGTCATACCTGGCAGTTGGGGGTCAGTCATCTCTGCTGCAGGACATCTCTGCAGGAGTTTCTCAGGGTAGTGTCCTCGGCCCAAACAATTCAAGAACCAAGGGAATCCATATTGGGGTTTTTGACAAGGCTAAGATGACTGGTAGAAGCATATGACTTTGGTTTAACCTTTAGTGAGATGCTGAGAGACCATTTGATACATAAGAACATAAGAACATAAGAACTAGGAGCAGGAGTAGGCCATCTGGCCCTTCGAGCCTGCTCCGCCATTCAATAAGATCATGGCTGATCCTTTCGTGGACTCAGATCCACTTACCCGCGTTCTCACCGTATCCCGTAATTCCTTTATTGTTCAAAAAAAATCCACATTTTCTTTAAAAGCGTTTACTGAAGTAGCATCAACGACTTCACTGGGCAAGGAATTCCACAGATTAACAACTCTCTGGGTGAAGAAATTCTTTCTCAATTCAGTCCTAAATCTGCTCCCTCTAATCTTGAGGCTATGCCCTCTTGTCCTAGCTTCACCTGCCAGTGGAAACATCCTCTCTACTTCTATCTTATCTATTCCCTTCATAATTTTATATGTTTCTATAAGATCCCCCCTCAATCTTCTGAATTCCAATGAATATAATCCCAATCTACTCAGTCTCTCCTCATAAGCCAGTCCCCTCAACTCCGGAATCAACCTAGTGAACCTCCTTTGCACCCCCTCCAGTGCCAGTACATCCTTTCTCAAGTAAGGAGACCAAAACTGCACACAGTACTCCGGGTGTGGCCTCACCAGCACCTTGTACAGCTGCAACATAACCTCTCTGCTTTTAATTTCAATGCCTTTAGCAATGAAGGACAAAATTCCATTTGCCTTCCTAATTACTTGTTGTACCTGCAGACCTACCTTCTGTGATACGTGAGATTAATGATGTAACCATGCAAAAGCACTTACTATCTGAAGCCCAACTGGACTTCAAACAGGCTCTACAATTGGCTTTATCATTGGAAAATGCAGCAAGTGGAGCATATGAGTTTCAGGATATTCCAATGGAAGTGGACACCCTCGCCAGTCTGACTGAGTTTGGGGAATACTATAAGACAATTACATAGCCTCACTCAGAGCTTATCCTGAACAGAGGGACTCTAGTTCAGCCCATGGCAAAATGCCAAATTAAAGACAAGCCTCGGCCAAACGGTTAAAATTTTCTTCAGGATCTGGGCCGGCAAGCCATTTTAATTGCTGCGGACTCAAGACAGCAAAAGAGTTCCACTAAACTGAGTAAGAGAATTCATCGGCAGGTATGCAGGAGAGTACATACCCTGGAAAGTCCACCCACATCTGGTTTGGAACAGATAAATTGCTTGGCAACATCGAAATCAAAATCAATCAAATTGAACATCTGGTTAAATAGTCACCCAGTTCTAATGGCGGTCGATACAGGCATGGTTGTTTCAGCGATCGCAGAACCAGTCTTTAACAAAATTCACTCTGGACTCCAAACCTTACGTTTGTTCAAGACCTCAGCTAGACTAAGAACCTATACTGGGGAACCCTTACAAATTGAAGGTACAACTTCGCTTCTTGTCTATTATGAGAAACAGCTGGTTCAGTTGTCATCTTTGTAGTAAAAGGCCCATGCTCGATGGGGCAAAATTGGTTGAGAAAGATTCACTTAGATTGGCGCCAAATTTTTCGAATAGAAAATGGCTGCCTGAATGAAGTACTAACTCCAGAAGTTTTTCAGTAAGTTCTAAGGACCATCAAAGGGGCCAACGTCGCCTTGCATGTTGACTAGAAAGCAATTCCACGATTCTGCAAGAACTGCCCAGTGCCATTTGCAAAACGTAGAGACAGAAATCAGAAGGCTGAAAAGCGAACAAATCAACAAACCTCTCCAGTTCATGAAATGGGCAGCACCGGTCATACCGATGGTAAAACCTGATGGGTTGGTACACCTTTGTGGGGATCTTGAACAAATGGTAAACTGCTTTTCACAGCTGGATAAATTCCCAATCCCTTGCAAAGAGGGTTTGTACACAAAGCTAGTGGGAAGAGGGGGTGCTGTCCTTCACAAAGCTGGACATGAGCCATGCTTACTTGCAATTACAGCTAGATGAGGATTCTCACAAGTATGCCACAATTAATACCCATAAGGCTTTGTACCAATATAGGAGGCTGCCATTGAGCTTGGGGAACACCACTTGAGTGAAGGCAATTACATAGCCTCACTCAGGGCATATCCTGAACAAAGGGACTCCAGTTCAACCCATGGCAAAATGCCAAATTAAAGACAAACCTCGGCCAAACGGTTAAAATTTTCTTTGTCAGCCTGTGCAATTTTTCAGCGGACGATGAAAACATTTAACAAGGTCTACCCCAAATTACCATTTACCTAGATGACTTGCTAATAACAGGGAAGACCAATAAGGAGCGCTTAGAGAACTTGGACATAGCCCTTAGATGTTTCTCCAAAGTGAGTTATGTCTTAGAGGGGAAAAATGTGTGTTCCAGGCACCCCAAGTGACCTACCTGGGTTACAGAGTTGACACGACTGGGTTAGACACATTGGAAGATAAAGTGAGGGCGATCAAAGGTGCCCCGGCTACTACATCTGTACCGGATCTTTCCTTGGTCTGGTGAATTATTACGGAAAGTTCATTCATAACCTGGCCTCCATCCTGGTACGTTTGTGTCAACTCTTCAAAAAGGGTCAGCCTTAGAAATGGTCGTGTAGCTAAGCCATAGCTTTCAGGGAAGTGAAGAAACAGTTATCATCCTCTAAGGTCTTGGCATACTACGATCCCAAGTAAAATCTGGTATTGGCATCAAAGTCTTCCTATACTGCATTGGGGTAGCATCAGCTCATAGGTGGCCCAATGGAGAGGAACACCCAAAAGCATATGCATCCATGACTTTGGCTAATGCAGAGCATAAATATGACCAGATAGGGAAGGAAGGTTTGGCAGTCATATTTGGAGTCAGGAAGTTCCACTAATATGTTTATGGACATAAATTTGTAATAATACCAGACCACACGGTGGCTGAACGGTCAGCACTGCTGCCTCTCAGCGACAGGGACTGGAGTTCAATTCCACCCTCAGGTGACTCTAAGTGGAGCTTGCACAATCTCCCCGTGTTTGTGTGGGTTTCTTCTGGGTACTGCACACATCTTTTACAATACGTGGACTCCTGGAAGTGTTGGTCACAGATAATGTGCTACCGTTTACCAGCGGGGAATTTGAGTATTTCCTAAAGTCAAATGGTATTTGACGTATAAGGGCAGCCTCATATCAAGTCAGATGGGAAAATATGACAAGGTTCGAAAAATGATTTTCTGGAGATGAGATAAAAAGTCTGATTTTACACACAATGTTTTAACAGCAAGATGACGATCTCACAACTGAGAGACAAGATGCCTAATTGCTTATGTTACATATCATTACCTATTCTTCCCTCATTTAAACACAAGTTGCTATCCTCCCAGTGAGCAGAGAGAAATTAGACAGTGACAATTCCTGACTACAAAAGCATAATGAGAAACGGCTGCCACCACATCCAACGTGAGTGGGGTAAATATATTTTTCTGCCTGAGTGAGCAGCTTCCACATGTGTATGATATTATGAGGCCCTTCAAGATACAAGTGCTTTAATCAAGCGCTAATGCAGTGCAGGTTAATGACATCAATAATATAGAACTCTGCATGTGAACATATGTAATGATCAATGATGTTGAATATCAATCCTAGCCACAAGCAAACTTGGTCATATCACTTGGCCATTACGGATTCATGATAGTCATCTCTGTGAAGCTGGGCCAGTCAAAAAGGACCTATAAAGCATCACACACAAAATACATTTCAAGGTCTCGTAGAGGTTTCACAAGGGCATGGAGCTGCTTTCCTCTCACTTGTAAGTATTTGACAGCATGTTCTTACATGCAATGTTGCCTTTTTTGGGTGATGTTGGAGCATGTGGGTGGGATAAGGTATCAATAAGCTTACTGAACTTATACTGTCTTACTGTACTGTCATGACATGGTCTGTCTAGTATGTCAAAGGTTCATGAAATCCTATGGCCCTCCATTTTGGAGACTTCCATGTCACACTGTATCAAGGATTACGGTAACTACTCATTTGCAAATGCGGCCAATGCTGACTGCTCACATTACTCTGTTTCTCCCTTTCCCATACAGGCTAATTGGGTGACAAAGGATCTATCTGCTCTGAGGGTTATCATCACGATGGACAATGGAAATGCAGAGACATTGACGAGGAGCACATACTTCAGCAAGGCCACGACCAGCAGCAACTTGCAGCTTCTGTCGGATTGTCTCCATGTGAAGAGGTTGCAGCAGACGGGCTGCTCAGGATGTGGCAGAGGTACAGGAGGTCCAGAATCAATTGTTCTTGATTCCATTTCCTCCAGATGAGTGAGATGCAGTGCCCGTGCTGAATATGGATGTCCCAGGATGCTGTAACAGCTTTGGATGATCTGCTGGAGCAGGACCTGCGATCTGAAAAGGTGAGTGACCATCCTATGTCAATGGCCATCGAGGTGACAGCAGAACTTAGCTTTTATGTAACTGGCTGTTTCCAAAGATCCACTCGGGACCTATTAAGGATCAATCCTCTACCCACAACTGTATCAAGGCTGATATCATGCAATTTGTGACACTATTTCATCTGTTTCCCTGTGACAAGGTCAGTGTCTCAGCCTGGGCAGTAAACTTTGTTGACATAACTGGTATCTCCCAGGTGCAGGGCACTGTAGACTGTACACACATGTTGAGAATACCGTATCATAACATGGTTGATCTCATCAATAGGGAAAGGTTCCATTCAGTCAATGTACAAGTCATCTGCGATCATCACTAACACATCTTCAAGGTCTATGCAAGGCACCCTGAGAGCTGCCATGATGCCTACTTCCTCTAAAACCTGCTTCGGCTCCAGATGCCTTGCGAGAATGGTTACTGGGAGCGAGGGCTACCCTCTGCAACCCTGGCTGATAATTCCATTTCACCACCCCCTGACTGAAGCTGCACATACATATACAATGCAGCTCATTCTTCTAGCAGGGCCATTTTGGAGCAGACAATAAGTCTCCTGAAGTTCTGATGCTTAGATCAATCTGGGGGCAGACTGTGACTGAAAGTGCTGCGTAATTCCTATGCGTTGTGCCCCACCCTACCGGAGCAGGCAAAGACGGGATGTAATGGACACTGTTGAGCTGGGGGAGCGGCAGGAGTCTCCCAAGGATGGAAATAAGGACATTGATTAGAAGGAACATCACCTTCAGTATGACAGCGCTGCAAATCGAGTGCAGCAAGACAGGCAGGACTGAATTGACACCCGTTTCCAATAGATCAGAGATGGTTGAATCATTATTCATTGACTATAAATTTATTCTTTCTCAAAAGATAAACAGCCTGTTTATTCCCACAGCAAATGTAGCTTTTTTGTTTGTTCTTTCTTCACTTGTCCTCTTGTGTAATAAAAGTTAAATAAAACTTAAACAACTGTTTGAAGGCTTTACAACATGTAATGCTCCCACATTGAACAATGATACGATGTTTATGATTCGCTGAGCGTTAGGGAAAGAGTAGCATTTCTTTAGATAGGGTTCAAACATGGTAAAGTGCTAAGGATGGGAGCCTCCAAAGCTTGATTCTTGTAGCTGCAGTTACTATGACAGTCGATCAGACAGCTGATGATGTAAAGAAGCAGAACATTTACAAAGGTCAGATTTTATTTTTAATGAAGCACCACCTGTGTGCCCTTTGGAGATTGTATTCTTTTTTCCCTACACCTATTATGAAGGGCTATTTGTAGCTGGCAATATTTGCCTTGTTGAACAGCTCGGCTTTGATAAGGGAATCCTGGAAAGTCCCGGCAGCAGTCAGTATTTCCGCGCTGGTCTGCACAAGATAGTGTGAGCATACGCCGTAGAGACGTGGTGCATACAGAAAGAAGTGAGCAGCGGAGGATTGCATGAGAACTCCCTAAAACTCATGGAGAGAAACCCACTACAAAACTCCCCAAAATTGACACTTAGCCAATATTTGGCATAATTCAGCTCAGTGTTCTTCTGAAATATTGATGAGATAATAAAAAGAACTAAAACGTTGTATGAGGCTTTTATGAGGGTATAGTCAAAGTTGAAAAATTGTTTATCAACATTTGTGTTATCCAGTGAGAGCTACCTGCTTCATGGTATTGGTCAACAGAGTTGCATAACTAATTTTTTTTCTCTTTTGTCCCTTCCCTGGTCCTGCAGATGTATATGGCTTGCCTGTGTAAAAATAATATGTAAATCAGCCTACCTTGCAAAACCACCTCGCTTTCAAGTCTGTTGTCGTCCATTTAATGTATGCTATGTTGCTTTCTCATTCGCCTATCTGATTGAACTGCACCATTTCCCTCAGATTGCTAACCAAGATGGGACTGAATGGCAGTGCTAGTCGATATGAGGTGTTGCAAGAGACAGTTTGGAGATGTAAGAAAAATGTAGACATTGAGTTAAATGTGAGGAATTACATGGGTCAATAAGTGTTATGAATAGATTGATTAATGCTGTAAACTTAAAGATAGTTATAATCAAGGAGAAATATGTAAGTTTTTTAATATAAAAATTAATTTATTTGACACTGGAGTTCATGGTGAGGCTAACATTTATTGTGCGTTCCTACTTTCCCTTAAGGAAGTGGCAGTGAGCTGCCTTCTTCATCTTCTCCAGTCTTTGTCATGTAGCAACACCCACAATGCTGTTTGTTAGAGAATTTATTTTATTCTGTTGGTCACCAATTTTAGGCTTCGAAGACACAAGTTCAGTTTTGCCTAACCATTATTTCCTGATTTACTGTTTTCTCTTTTTTCATATCAGTTTTCTAAAACGCCTAATTTTTCATCAAACTACTAAAAGGTGACTGCTGGCTGTGTCACTATGCTGACAAAGTTTTAAAATCTTCAGAGAAAGAGGAAAAATTAGCAGAGAATCACTTAAGAAAATGGTGAGAAATTCTCTTTACAAACTCTTGATTTTGCTTCTCCACCAGTAACTATCTGAGCTGGCTACCTACATACTTGTTGTGCCAGTCGTAGATCTGTTGAAGATTTCCAAAAATGATCTTGTCTTTTCCTTTCATGTCATCAGGAATTCCTTTCTCTTCCATTTTTTTCATGTAACCCTAAAATATCAGAAATATGCAGAAATTTGGTGTCACAACTGAAGTCTCCTATAATTATGCCATGCTAGTACAATTATTATTTCTTACAAATGCTTAAACTCAAATGAATAAATGGGCAGAAAATCTTTAGTCCTACTCCACCAGCATATACAGCAATGTAAGTGCCACTTCCTAGGCCCTGCCAGAATTCAGGGATTAGGGGGTCATCTAATTTACATGAACCCCTTAGGCAGGAGGTGGAGAAGGAATCTAACATGGCTGCTTGAGCCCTCTTCAAATGTTCAGTCTCTACAGTTTTATTTCAATCATTCATGGGAAGTGGGTGTCGCTGGTTTGGTCAATATTTATTGCCTATCTCTAATTGCCTTTGAGTAGGTGGTGGTGAGCTCCCTTCTTGAACCACTGCAGATCCTGGCAGTCCCACTTCATCAATGGTCTAGCTACAGCATGCTTCCCAGCATTATCATCACTGTGCAGGTTCACTTTGGAGCTGAAGGATTCCATTTGAAGGAATGCTTTTCCGCTTTCCCATTCCAACATCAGTCAAGTAGGAGGAGGACAGAAGTTCCTGGGCCTTGGTCTAGGCTACACATAAAATGACTGAAATACATCCTTCAACTAATTTTTTTGTAATTTACATCACTAGAACAATGAACTGGCTGTGAGATGTGGAGTGTAAAGTTTCTATCAATTAAATGATTACCCCCCAGATGTTAATATTAAACAAATCAACTCTCAGAATGAGACCTTGCTTTATTGATCCTACCTTTGTTTTTTAGACCATAGAGATCACTTACTGAGCACATTCACAGAAGGCTACTCAAGTTCTTGTACCATAAAAAAAAATTTATTAAACAATAAAAGGAAACATGAATGATATTTCACAAGACAAAATGAAAGATTGGAAAGATTCATTACAGACATCAGAAAAGGATTCAAATTAATGCTGTTCCTATTAGCACACCAACATCCTTACAAACAACTCAAACTTCAGAGTTTTCATAATCCTCGCACTAAGGCTACTTGTCAGACTCAGGCTGGTACAGCTGCAACCAGTTTCCTTTCATTGAATTTCTGTGCAGTCGCTAGATGCTTTCTCCCCTCATCTGATGTCTCTATCTGAGGTACCTAAAACAAACTTCAAACTAAACTCATTATGACTTTAATTTCAGAGTAACTACATGAGTTCCCTATATCCAATGTTCAGCAGTCCATCACTCTCCATCATATACCACTGACTGATTTTCTAGATTGTTGTACCTATATCTGTACGTCATTGGACTTCTGTCACTAGGCAACAGCACAGTATTTTTCTCCACCATTTTTTAGTGTGTTGAACTGTTTTAAACTTCATTAAAATGCATGTACACAAAACAGACCTCCAGACATCTCATTACCACTGCTCTGAACTCCTGCAATAAACTCAAAAATGACTAACCATACCTTCCCCTTCTTAATACACAGAATACAAAATATGATTTAAACTTAAAGTTAACATTGTTCTTAACAGCCAAGACCTCTGTTAAGAAGATTAGGGAATATTTTGGCCGGTTTTTGATGCTAGCTTTGATATCTTGTGGGAAACCTCTCCAATGTACCTTGTTTCCTAATTATTGTGGAATCTATTTAACTGACTCTGAATCTGGAAAATGGGTTAGGTTTGGTTAGCAGTGAGGAGACCAGTGTTGTAAATGAAGGTCGTGCCACATCAGAGATGCACTGTAATAAGAAAATCTTGGCTCCTAAATCAGGTACCTCGATGAGAGAGCTCTCACTATGAATTTTATTAAACTTACTCCAATGGTATTCCAATTAGCTCTAATTCATCTTACCTCCACCACAGCTCTCAAGTCTTTAACATAAATTTTCTCTGTTTGAACAAGTTCGTTCAGGACATACCTGCAAATAAGATATAAAAGAGAAACTAAATGTACCAATAGTTAAGAATTCTCTTTGGAACATAAGAACATGGAGCGTGCCCTTTATCCCCTTGAAACTGATCCACCAGGTCGATAAGATCAATTCTGATCTGTAATCTGACACCATGGGTGGAAACTTTTGCTCTGACTTGTGGTAAGGGTAGAGGCAGCAATGGCATTTTATTAAGTGGGATGGTGGGATACCAGAGCCCCACTACCATTCTCCTGCTCCTGTTGCTGAACTCCCTGCACCCATTTCCCAATAGCCCCCACCCCATGTGGCATCGCACCTCCACCTGCACATTACTGATCAGTGACCTTGATCGCTCCAGATTCCATTGACTCAGGAGCTAAGGCGAATGTTCTTCCTGCAGTAGCTGTGGCATCTCCCAGTGGCACAGTGAGCACAAGAGATGCTGGCCTCTGATAGGCTGCAGCGCTCAGGAGACAAGATTTGTGCCTCCAAGTTTTGGGGAAGGTCTAGTAGTGGCCTTGCTACTGCCTGATTTGCTTGAGGGTCAGTGGGCCTTCCAATAAAGCAGGTGCCAGCCTGGCTGTCCAGCCAGCAGGTGAGATCACCAACTCTTCAACATTCTGCCCCATATCTTTTATTAATATCCATTAGTATACTTTTGTTAACTCAAATGTGTAATCTCAGATTTAAAACTAACATTTAATTAAACTGCTATTTAATTTCAATCTAAGTTCAATCCTGAAAGGCATGCTCCCTTGTTTGAGTGTAGTCACTGAATCTCAGATCCTTCAATCAGTAACAATTACTTTTCTCTATCTCCCCTTTTAGTGTTGTTAATATCTTAACACGTCCATCATGTCAACTCTTAATATTCTAAATTCCATGGAGTACAATCCTAATTTGTGTAATCTCTTCTTGAAAATTAATCTGTAGAGTCTGTGAATCATTCTAGTAATTTTATGCACCCTCCATTGCCAATATATCCTTGCTACGCTATGGTATCCAGAACTAAGCTGAGTATTCCAATTTCACTGACTCTTGCCTGTTATCTGAAAAACAAGCCACTTGGTTGTACTCTAAATACGTGCCTGTATAAATCCCTTCAGTATCAGGACAATGATGGTTCAAGGAGGCAGTTCATCATAATAAAAAGTGAAAGGACTCCAAATGCTGTAAGTTAAGAACAAAAACAGAAGTTGGTGGAAAAGCTAAGCATGTCTGGCATCATCTGTGAAGAAAAATCATAAAAGAACCAGACCCGAAACAGTAACACTGGTTTTTCTTCACAGATGCTCCCAGACCTGTTCAGTTTTTCCAGCAACTTCTGTTTTTGTCTTATTTAGGAATGGGTAATCAATGTTGGCCCTATCAGTGACATCCTTATTCCTTCAGCGCATAAAAGAAAAGTTGTGGTCTGACCAGCAATTTGTCTAACTGCAATAGAGTTTCCAACCCAAATAAAAATTGAAAATATTGGTGAAACTCAACAGGTCTGATAGTATTTGCAGAAGAGAAACAGAGTTACTGTTTTGAGTCTAGTATGACTCTTCTTCAGAATTGAAAGGCCAGAAAATGATTTTTTATGGTGTTGACAAGGGGAGAGGAGGACAGGGACAGGAGGAACAAGTGAAACAGGTGGTGAAGGTGCCCAGAGCAAAAGACAAAGGGAATGCTGATATTAGTAGAGGAGGGATATAGATGAAGAACAGATGTTCATGGTAGATGTTAATGGCAGAATATAGGTTAGTTTTGCAGAGAGCAAACTCATACAGACAAGGCATGGCAGGAGGGGAAAGGAGGTATTATAAAAATGAAGGTTATTGTTCATGGTCTGAAGATGTTGAGTCATTGTTAAGTCCTGAAGGCTGTAAAGTACCTATACAGAAATGAGGAGCTGCTCCTGCAGCTTGCATTGGGCTTCACTGCAGCAAGTCTAGACTGCAATATTAGTGTAAGAACAAGATGATGCATTGATATGGTAAGCAAGTGGATGGTCAGGTTCACTTTTATGGACAGAATGGAGGCATTCCATAAAGTGGTCACCCAGACTACATTTGATCACACAGTTATTGAAAGGCTGCATAATGAGCAGCAAATACTGTGGGCTAGATTGCAAGAAACACATGTGAATCACTGATTCACCTGGAAAGTGTGTTGGGACTTTGGACAATGAGGAGGAAGGTGGTAAAAGGGCAAGGATCACACCTCTGCAATGTGCGATGAGGGTCAAGTAGTAATGAGGTATTGTGAGTGATTGAAGAGTGGAAGTGTCACAGAGGGAGTAGTCCCTACAGAATGCTGACAACGGAGGGAAAGATATGTTTGATGGTGGCAGCCTGCTGGAGGTGGCTGAAATGATGGAGGATGATTATTTGAAAGCAGAGACTGATGCAATAGGAATTGAGGATGAGTAGTACCCTACTGCTGTTCCAGGAGGGAGGGAAGGGGTGAGTGCAGAAAGTACGTTGGACACATCCTCTCAACTCTGGTGGGGCAAAATCTACAGTTTAGGAAAAAGGAAGACATGCTGGAAGCAATTTCTGACCCCGTTATTCTCGTCCTCTGGATATAATAAATAGAATTCCATTAGTCTTTTTGTACTATCCAGAACATTTTAATGCTCTATGTACATGATCCCCAAATCTCTTTGGACTTCCATGGCTTCTGACCTTTTACTGTTTAGAGCGGATTCTGGTCTATCATCTTTCGGCTCAAAGTGAATGCTCTCATATATGCTTACATTGCAATTCATTTGTCACAATTTTGTTCATGATGAGCTTAAACCATTCAAGGTGTACTGTCATTTTACTTTCATTGTAGCTTCTAACAAATTCTACTGGACTAGCTAGCCTATAATTCCATTTTTCCTTTCACTTAAATAGTGGAGTTACATGTCCAGATTTTCAACTGAAAGGACAATATGGGTGGTACAGTGGCTCAGTGGTCAGCTCTGCTACCTCACAGTGCCAGGGACTCAGGTTCAATTCCTCCTTCAGGTGACTGTCTGTGTGGAGTTCACACATTCTCCCAGTGTCATGTGGGTTTCCTCCGGGTGCTCTGGTTTCCTCCCACAGTCCAAAGATGTGCAGGTTAGGTGGATTGGCCATGCTAAATTGCCCACAGTGTTCAGGGATGTGCAGGGTGGGTGGATTAGCCATGGGAAATGCAGGGTTACAGGGATGGGGTAGGGGGATGAGTCTGGGTGGGATGGTCTTCGGAGGGCTAGTGTGGACTCAATGGGCCAAATGGCCTGTTTCCACACTGGAGGGAATTAATTATTGTAGGGCTGGTTCCTGACTTGATTGTAGTTTGTAATGTCCATGTCCTCAACTATTCTCTTTCAAACTTGGGGGTGAAAACCATTTAGCCCCAGAGATTTGTCGAGCCACAGTAGAATTACATTCTTCATTACACTTCATTTGACAATGTTAATTTGTGTTTGTGCGTGGCCCCAATCCTGATTTAACTATTAGCTTCCTTGACATATCTTACATGTTATTTTCTTCCTCATCTACAAACACTTACACTAACGGTTGAATCTTACAGTTTTTTGGCTAAGTTGGGTTGGTGGAGTGATTCTCACTGTGAGACTGAGTGAGTTTTCTTGCCACATCTTAGCAAACTCACCACATTAATTGGCATTTCAGCCCTTATGGTGAATAGCATGTCCCATTTCTACGCCATCTTATCACATGCATTTCCTACAGCAACCTGCCACTTACATGTAGATCCTGGAATTCCCTGGCATTCCTGGCACCAATGACATATTTAAAAGGCCTTTGTGCACCTGGGCACGCACTGTCAATCTAAAGCTGCCCTGCCCAGTTTCTGACCTTTGCCCCAGACATGGCAGACAGGGGGATATTGGTGCCCTTGCTTTGTGGGCATGGTTTTAGAGATCCTGCTGGACAGGATGGTACACAGGCAGGTCTTTCTTTTCCCCCAGGACCAGCGGTGGAGGCAACAGCACCCAGATCGTGCCCATCTGATCTGAAGTTGCTATCCAAGTTAGAGCAGTTTTAGCCATCTGGAGGAGTACCCAGAACTGTAGGAAGGAGGTCAATGCCCTTCTCCACTCTGCCAAGATAAGTGTCACCACCTTCTCTCTGATACCCCACACTCTCTATCTCTACAACTCGATCAACTTCCTACCAAGTTTCATGCTCCAACTCTCTCACTAATGCATTCAAAGCTTCCCCACTCGCCTTCATCCACTCAAACCTGTAACACTACGAACTCTGCATGCCCTCTGTTTGGCCTGTTCACTTGCTCAGGATACCTCCCCACCTGCATCAACAGTAGTAGTTGTGCCACCTACTTTCATCTCCTGCAATACTCACCTCTCTCCCTCATTCCAGAAGCAAACCAGTCCACATCTTGCCCAATGCCACCACTCATCTAGCCATAGCCCACACTGCACAGAGTCTGATAAGATTTTGCCCAAATTGTTGAATATTTTCAGCATTCCCTTGTTTTCATTTATATTATCACTATTATAGATATGATATATAATATGATATAATAGCTTTTAGGGGATATACATGGCTTTTGACCAACTTCTATTTCTTAATATAATTGTCAACGATTTTGCCATTTCTTTTGTTACTTTTACTACTTCAATGTTAAGTTGAAGATGTTAACTGGCATATGTTCACAGATGATGTGCAACAGATGGGTTAAAGAAGCACAGTCATTTCCTATAGAATGATACTAGACAAAAAAAACACAAAAGAACTACAGATGCTGGAAATCAGAAACAGAAACAAGCTGCTGGAAAATCTCAAGAGGTCTGGCAGCCTTTGAGGAGAGAAATTAGAGTTAACATTTCAGGTCCAATGACCCTTCTTCGGAACTAGGATCTGGCCAACATCTCTGCCTTAGGCTTGCTACAGTGTTCCAGCAAAGCTCAGGGCAAGCTGGAAGAACAGCATCTCATTTTCCATTTGGGAACCTTGCAGCCTTCTGGACTTAATATAGATTTTAGGGTTTGACCACGTTTTCCCAATACTTTCCCCAATCCCCACACACCAGAATTTATCATTACACAGACTGCTACCACACACTACCCATTGTCAGCCACTAATTGTCTCTCCTTGCACAGAGAGATCTGGGTGTTCAGGTCCATTGTACCCTGAAGGTGGCAACGCAAGTCGATAGAGTGGTCAAGAAGGCATACGGCATGCTTTCATTCATCGGACGGGGTATTGAGTACAAGAGTTAGCAGGTCATATTACAGTTTTGTAGGACTTTGGTTCGACCACATTTGGAATACTGCGTACAGTTCTGGTCGCCACATTACCAAAAGGATGTGGATGCTTTGGAGAAGGTGCAGAGGAGGTTCACCAGGATGTTGCCTGGTATGGAGGGCACTAGATATGAAGAGAGGTTGAGTAGATTAGGATTATTTACATTAGAAAGATGGAGGATGAAGGGGGACCTGATTGAGGTCTACAAAATCATGAGAGGTATAGACAGGGTGGATAGCAAGAAGCTTTTTCCCAGAGTGGGGGATTCAATTACTAGGGGTCATGATTTCAAGGTGAGAGGGGAAAAGTTTAAGGGAGATATGCGTGGAAAGTTCTTTACACAGAAGGTGGTGGGTGCCTGGAACGCGTTGCCAGCGGAGGTGGTAAAGGCGGGCACGATAGCATCATTTAAGATGTGTCTAGACAGATACATGAATGGGCAGGGAGCAGAGGGATACAGATCCTTGGAAAATAGGCAAGAGGTTTAGATAGAGGATCTTAATTGGTGCAGGCTTGGAGGGCCGAAGGGCCTGTTCCTGTGCTGCAATTTTCTTTGTTCTTTATTAGCAGCTATTCATTCCTCAGACTGACCTTAACCACTCCTTTGTCTGTCCAACTATTTTTCTCTGTCTTTGGGCTCTACATCTAGCTATCGTTTACTCTACCCTCTCCCCCCAACCGATCTTCTGTATAAATACATCCTTTTCCTAGCTACCATCAATTCTGAAGAAGTGTCTCTGGACCTGAACCGTTAACTCTGATTTCTCTCCACAGGTGCTGCCAGACCTGCTGAAATTTTACAGCAATTTTCTGTTTTTGTTCCTATAGAATGATGCATGGCAAATAGAGAAGAACAAGGAAAGTATGAGGAATTTACACATTCACTCAAAACTGAAACAGTTTTGGGCAGTTAGAGTAAGAAAAAAGGAAATGTGTTGCTGTGCCAAAATCCTGGAATTCTCTTCCTAAGGGCATTGTGGGTCTACCTACAACATGTGGACTCCAGTGATTCAAGAAGACAGCTTGCTACCACCTTCTCAAGGGCAGTTAGGGACAGGCAATAAATGCTGGTCCAGCCAACACACCCAAGTCCCATAACTGAATGAAAGAAAAATAAAGACATGCCCAGGTGAAGACCATTTCTCTTATGTTGAGATTTTCAATCAAGTGACCTCTTTCTGTGTTGTAAACATCTTTGGTTCCATATTTCTACGATATAAACCCTAAGGAAACAAATATGGACATTTGCAGTAGTGCATGGTTTGCCCTCAATTATCACATGCAAAAAGTAGTAGGTAAAAAATCTACAATTCCATCTCTTAGCAACCATTGAGCCAATAAATAAAGCAATGCATCTTCCCATGTCCTGAATGATATGGAATATGTTGAGAGATTTGGGAAAATCATTTGAGATTTTGAGCGAGGCTCTTCTTGACATTGAGATTGGAAAGTTGCATTTTCTGGACAAGTCCAGGACATCGAGATGAGATTCTTGTTAATGAGCAACACGAGGCTTATTAATAGGGATTACTTCACATTTTTTCTTAATCTCACCTCATAAATATGCAATTTCCTATTCTCCCATCTGCCAGAGAGAAACTAGACATCGAGAATTCTTGACATGAAAGTCAGAGCAGTTTTCTGGCAATTTGAGCATGCTGCCATTGCTTTGAACCTCAGTCTTGGACTCCTGGCACCAACATCTCAGGGTCCACTGTATGGGCGGCAACTGCATGCACCCTACATCCATTGACCTTGGTATCTGCCACATATCAATCTCACTGAACCCTCATGGCATATTTCTGAGTTTCTGCACTTTAATGCTGCACTTTGGAGCACAGTGGCACCTCTTGTTGGAATACTGCTACAAGGACATTGTGAGAGCTTGGACAGTCATCCAGATTGGACCTGGCTCCATGTCAGGGTCGCTTACTCACTCATTTTGAGGCTACTTCAATGCTCACAGCATCTCTACTCTGCCTTACCTCGACATTTTACACTTTGCCCTCTCAGCCAGAACTAACAGATTCTTGGTACTTCTGTCTTGACTTGGCTTTTAGTGCAGATACAAAGCCAGACAGCTTGTCATTCCTGTCAACAGTGATCAGTCAATGGAGTGGTTATGTATCCCGGCACATAAGTCATTATCAATCCAGGGGCTTGAGCAAGATCAGTCCATTGCTCCGGGCAGTCAGGGTCATTAAAATATGAGGAAGCAAATGTGGTCACTCATCACCCAGCTTAGCTCATTCTGCCCTGTGTGGGTGACATGTTGTTGGCAATAATGACTATGATGGAGCATGAGTCTTTGTGGGAGCTGGGTACAGTAACAGAGAAAGAATGAGTGTGAGGTAACAGAGAGAAGATAGGTGGGATGCTCAGCCAGGCAGAGCAGCAAAGTTCATTCACCTTCTACCTCCACTGGTGGGCATTCCTCCAGATAGCGGAGACTGCATTGATCGAGTGGCAATCTCTCACTAGGCTGACAGTATCTGGTGTTGTGGAGTCCTCTGCCAGTCCTGAGGAAAGGGACAGCCTTCCTCTACACCATCCCTTCCATCAGCACCTCCATGTCCCTCTCCGCAAAGCGGAGAGTCAATTTTGCTTTGTTAGCCAGCTCTGAGGCAAACGTCTCAAACTGTGCAGGACAGCTCCAACTGACAATGCTTTACCACGTGTACAATGACTTTTTAAAGATGGGCTAGTACCAGGCATAAGGGAACATCCTAAGTGGGGTAAGTACTTTCACTGACAGAGAGTGAGAAAATTGAGCTAGCATTGATGAGCGGGGTGCCTTTGTGACATGGCACAATGAGGGGAGTTCAGGAAGATTGTATGAGAAATTCACTAGGCCTCACAGAGAGAAAGCCTCCAGGAAACTTGACAAAAGTGACACTTAGCCAGTTTTTGGTGAGATTCAACACGAAGGTTTGATTTTGGTTCAATATCAGATAATGTATGTTGAATTTTCTTACTGCTCTGCCACTATTTCAAAATGGCAAACAATTACATGTCTCCAAACATATTCATAGCATGTAGGCAGTACAGTGTTAATATTCAGTTAATATTTAGTGTTGTATTTCACTTAGAAAGTTATAAAGAAAATTAGTTTACTTTCTGCCTTTAAGTCCTTTGGCTTGTTTTTCTTCATCATGATCTCCAGGTAATGTTGAAGAATTCATGAAGAATGGTTGAGATATAGCAGTCTGATCCTAGAATCTAAAAGAGAATGAAGATTCACATTAAAAATTTGTCCTATTTTAATAAAAATGAGCATTGATTATATTTTTGGTTACTGCATGTGGGCAGAATTGAAAATGGGCAGAAGGATTATTCATATGATTACCCCACCCTCTTCAATTATAATACATAGAAACTTCATATTGTCTGTTCAGTATAACGATATTTATGTGCATACAGCTATAGCCACCTTGTTCATTGACTGCACACATCAGGGGGCCCTATATTGTTATTTGCTAGCACCACTGCAAGCTAGTTTGTAGCTTTTAAATGGATGACATAATTGAGAATAGTAACATGCAAGAGTCAACAATGGCTGACAATGGGAGAGAGCGAATACCAAGGCTTGATTCTTAGCTTGTGCTGATATTGAGAACAGCTGATCTGCTGTTAATGTTCTCAACACCCTGATTTAGAACAGAGGAAAATGGAAACAACTATGGGTTTTCCTATGTATAGTGGGCCTTTATTCCTTCTGGAATACATTTGTGCGTATATCAGATAAGCATAGGAACAAGCATAAAACTTTCATTGTCTAGGATCAGCAATAAACTAATGTTACTGGTTTGGTGTATTGCTGCTATCTCTTTTCCTACTTCAGAACCTCATGTAGATTACTACATATCCACACTTTGTAATGGAGACAGCTTTCAGGATTCTGGCAACCCGCACATTTATCCACAGCTCTTACCTTCATTCTCCCATTGTGGGATTTGATTTATTTGGAAGCAAACAAGGGGAAACAATTACAAATTAATTTGGCAACCATTACCATTATTTGTTTGGCTCCTTTAAAATATTAATAACTATTTTCCCGTTACAAAGCAATAATAATACCTTCCTTTGACCATGCAACGGATTCAGCCAATCTGCATAAAAAGTGATTTCTCGCAGTCAAACTTACATCCTAACTCTAACTTTAAACACACGATTGAGTTTTACTGCAGTCTGTTTAATAGTTTCTGAAGCTGAAGTGAAAGTAAATTACAGCAGATATCACATGACGATGGCAAGTCAGAAGTGAACAAATATGCAAATAAATTTCTCCAAACATCCCCATTTAATGAAGAAAACTTTGTATGTATTATCATTTGGAGTTATAAGGCACGCAATACATGAATAACAAGAATTATTATTCATAATAAACCTGCAATAATGCAAACTGTTGTGATCTGGCATACTGACCTCTACATTGCGGAGGCTGAGTGCCAGGTCTTCCTATCTCTCCCTTGACCATGACTCCAGTGAGCATCAGGCTCCTGTAGGCATGATGGCCACCAATTTCATTGTATCCGGTACAACAAGGTGCAGGGCTGGATAAACACAGCAGGCCAAGCAGCATCATAGGAGCAGAAAGGCTGACGTTTCGGGCCTAGACCCTTCATCAGAAAAGAGGGAGGGGAAGGGGGTTCAGAAATAAATAGGGAGAGAGTGGGAGGCAGATAGAAGATGAATAGAGGAGAGGATAGGTGGAGAGGAAACAAACAGGTCGAAGAAGTGGGGATGGAGCCAGTAAAGGTGAGTGTAGGTGGGGAGTTAGGGAGGGGATAGGTCAGTCCAGGGAGGATGGACAGGTCAAGGGGGCGGGATGAGGTTAGTTGGTAGGAGATGGGGGTGTGGCTTGAGGTGGGAGGAGGTGATAGGTGGGAGGAAGAACAGGTTAGGGAGGCGGGGACGAGCTGGACTGGTTTTGGGATGCGGTAGGGGGACGGGAGATTTTGAAGCTTGTGAAATCCACCCCAACCTTAAGTTTACCTGGACCATCTCTAATACCTCTCTCCCCTTCCTGGACCTCTCTGTCTCCATATCGGGCAACCACCTAGAAACCGATATTCATTTCAAGCCCACTGACTCCCACAGCTACCTAGAATACTCCTCCTCCCACCCACCTTCCTGCAAAAATGCTATCCCCTATTCCCAATTCCTTCGCCTCCGCCGCATCTGCTCCCAGGATGAGGCATTCCACTCCCGTACATCTCAGTTGTCCTTGTTTTTCAAGGAACGTAACTTCCCCCCCTCAGTGGTCAAGAACGCCCTCAACCGTGTTTCCCACATCTCCCGCAACTCATCCCTCACACCCCGTCCACTCAATAAGAACCAAAAAAGAATCCCCCTCATCCTCACGTACCACCCCACCAACCTCCGGATCCAACGCATCATCCTCCAACACTTCCGCCATCTGCAATCCGACCCCACCACCAAAGACATCTTTCCTCCCCACCCTTATCTGCTTTCCGGAGGGACCACTCTCTCCGAGACTCCCTTGTCCGCTCCACACTCCCCTCCAGCCCCACCACACCCAGCACTTTTCCCTGCAACCGCAGGAAGTGCTACACCTGCCCCCATACCTCCTCCCTCACCCCCATCCCAGGCCTCAAAAGACTTTCCACATCAAGCAGATGTTCACCTGCACATCTGCCAATGTGGTATACTGCATCCACTGTACCCGTTGTGGCTTCCTCTACATCGGGGAAACCAAGCGGAGGCTCGGGGACTGCTTTGCAGAACACCTACGCTTGGTTCGCAATAAACAACTGCACCTCCCAGTCACGAACCATTTCAACTCCCCCTCCCATTCCTCAGACGACATGTCCATCCTGGGCCTCCTGCAGTGCCACAACGATGCCACCCGAAGGTCGCAGGAACAGCAACTCATATTCCGCTTGGGAACCCTGCAGCCCAATGGTATCAATGTGGATTTCACAAGCTTCAAAATCTCCCCTTCCCCTACTGCATCCCAAAACCAGTCCAGCTCGTCCCCGCCTCCCTAACCTGTTCTTCCTCCCACCTATCCCCTCCTCCCACCTCAAGCCGCACCCCCATCTCCTACCAACTAACCTCATCCCACCCCCTTGATCTGTCCGTCCTCCCTGGACTGACCTATCCTCTCCCTAACTTCCCACCTACACTCACCTTTACTGGCTCCATCCCCACCTCTTCGACCTGTTTGTTTCCTCTCCACCTATCCTCTCCTCTATCCATCTTCTATCTGCCTCCCACTCTCTCCCTATTTATTTCAGAACCCCCTTCCCCTCCCCCTTTTCTGATGAAGGGTCTAGGCCCGAAACGTCAGCCTTTCTGCTCCTATGATGCTGCTAGGCCTGCTGTGTTCATCCAGCCCTGCACCTTGTTGTCTCGGATTCTCCAGCATCTGCAGTTCCTACTATCTCTCATTGTATCTGGTGATCCCTCCCTTACTGCCTCCAAGCTCATTGTCCCCCTACTCTGTATGGTCCACTTCCACCTTCACAAAATCCACAAACAGGACTGTTAGGACAGATCCATTGTTTCTGCCTGCTCCTGCCCCACAGAACTTATCTATCTTTTCCTACCTTGATTCAATTTTTTTTCCTCATCCAGGTCCTCCCCACTTACATCCGTGATTCTTCTGGCACTTTACTTGAGTTTCAGAACTTCCAGTTCACGGGCACCAGCTGCCTCCCTTCACCATGGACGTGCAATCCCTCTACACGTCCATCCCTCATCGGGATGGTCTCAGGGCTCTCTGCGTCTTTCTGGAAAAATGGCCTGAACTGTCCGCATCCACCACCATCCTCCTCCACCAAGCCAATCTTGTCCTCACTCTGAACAGTTCTTCCTTTAACTCCTTCCACTTTCTTCAGGCTAAAGGTGTGGCTATGCATGCCCACATAGGCTTCAGCTATGCCTGTCTCTTTGTGGGGTCCATGGAACATCCCTTCTTCTAATCTTACTTGGTTCCCTCCCTACAACTTTTTCACTGATACATCCATGAAGTCATTGCAGCTGCTTCCCTCTTTTGTTTTGATCTGGAAAAATTTAGCAATTTTGCTCCCAATTTCTACTCTGCGATAGGGTCCGCTGGTCCTCACTTACCACCGGCCAAAGGATCATTAACTGATATTTACACCACTTCCAGCAATATGTAATCACCAGACATATATTCCCCTCCCTTGTCAGTCTTCTGCAGGGACGGTTCCCCCTGGGTCACCCTGGTCCACTCCTGCTTCACTCCCAAAGAACCCCACAGCCCCATGGCACCTTCCCATGCAACAGCAGAAGGTGTAACATCTGCCCATTTACTTCCTCCCTCTTCACTATCCAAGGTGCCAGACACACCTCCAGGTGAAGCAACGATTTAACTGCACTTCACTCAATCTAGTCCACTGTATTCACTGCTCACAATGTGGTGTCCTCTATATTGGGAGATGAAACACAGGCTGGGTGACCATTTTGCAGAACACCTATATTCTGTCTGCAAAAAAAATCCCGAACTTCCAGATGCCTGACACTCCAATACACCACCATGTTCCCTGGCCAAGTTTTCAGTCTCAGGCTTGCTGCAGCACTCCAGCAAAGCTCAGTGCAAGCCGAAAGCACAGTATCTCGTTTTCCACTTGGGGGCCTTGCAATCTTAAGGATTCAATATCAAGTTTAGTAATTTTAGGGCTTGAATGCCTTCTTCCATGTCCTTTGCCCACCTTCCAGCACAATGCATTTTCACCTACTCATGGTTTTCTCCTTCCCTGGCTTACCACTATGCATCTCTTTGTCTAACTGTCTTTCTCTCCCTCCGGGCTGTGTCTCTACCCACCATCTCACTCCTTTACCCTTCCTCCCCCACCCACAACCTGTCTTCAGCATACATACCACTCTTTCCTAGCTACTACTAGTTCTAACGAAGGATTACTGGATCCAAAATGTTAATTCTGACTTCACTCCGCAAATGCTGCCAGACCTGCTGAGTTTCTCCGGAAGTTTCTGTTTTTATTTCATTTTTCAAGCCATGTGTCCATTCACTCAATGTTCCTATTTCTATTCTCATTCACACATGGTCCAGAGAGCAATTCTGAGATTACTGCCTTAGAGGCACTGCATTTCAGACTATTGCCTAGCTCCCGAAGTTCAAATTTCAGGACCTCATCCCTCTTTCTATTTATGTCATTGGTATCAATGTGAACATTGACATCTGACCCTTTATCTTTTTTTTATTCATTCATGGGATGTGGGTATCGCTGGCTAGGCCAACATTTATTGCCATCCCTAACTACCTAGAGGGTAGTTAAGAGTCAACAATGTTATGTCACATGTAGACCAGGTAAGGATAGTAGAGAGGAAGGGTCACTGGACCCGAAACGTTAACTCTGTTTTTTCCTTCACAGATGCTGCCAGACCTGCTGAGCTTTTCCAGCAACTTTGTTTTTGTACCTTACAATGGGTGTTGCTTTCATCATAGCTATGGCATAATAAAGTTATTCACTTGCATAACTGGGAAATTTGTCTGGGAAATGTTAAACATGTTGGGAATACATTCTTTTATGTCAGGACTATGAAGAACTGGAATATGGGACAGTTTGGACATTCTGTATTGAAAGGGTTTGGAAGGGACATGTGATTTCTGGGTGCTGTGTTCTGCAATGGTTACTGAAGTCAAAGTTTAATGTGTGCAGGTTGCCACCTGCAGCTTTGGTTGGAGATCAGATCACTTTTGGGAAAATGGACAAAGAAGCTTTTAAGAGCTGGGTTTTATGACTTTAATTGCTTGACAAACTTGATTTGAAAATATGATGCCCTGTACTGAAGGTTGCCTAGCAACGGTATACACACTAAAGTTTGTTTTAGTACACACCTAGGTGGGTCAGTTGAGCAACAAATCAGGAAGCTGGCAGCAAAAATAGAAAGATCCCTCTGTCACCTTTTAACAGGACAAGCTGCATAGATCTCTCTCAGTAAAATATCTTCTGGGAATATTAGAAAGTCTTATAATTAACTTCCTTTGAGATTCTGGAAGCTGAACTGTTACTTTCAATCAAAAACCTAAGTCTCACTGACTCTGTTTTAAGCTGAAGTCTGATTAAAGATATCCCTTCAATTCTGTGGCTATCATCATTGCAATCTCAATGAAAGGAAATCAACTAGATTGTGACACGACTTCCCTTTTAGTATCCTTTGAGTTTGGACTCTTGGCCCCA